AAGAATGCCGGACAAGAGAATCCTCTTAGACTCCCTCCTAACATAAATTTTCAGCAAGGTCCTTTTCTTCGTATGAACCATTGGACCGATTTCATTATTTTTAAAATATATTTTTTTATTCTTTTCAATTATACATTCTTCAATAAAATAATATTACACATAAATTTTTTTAAAAAAAAAATTCATTCTTTTTTAATCATACATTCTTCATTTTAGTTTGGACTCAAATAGGTTCTATATATGTTTTCTTAATTTTTTTCTTCATTTTAGTTTGGACAAAAATAAACTATTTTAATTTTAAATTTATTTATTTATTTTTTATCTTTTTGTATAGAACGATTTCATCCTCTACGTAGTGCTATGTCAATTTGTTGGTTCATTGTATTCCAATTTAAATGCTTGCAGTTCAAGGAAATACTGTTTAAATATTTTTTGTTGTTCAAAAAAAAAAAAAAACATTTAATAAATTTTAAGTCAGCTTTAAAGTATTTTAAAGTATTTATTTATATTGATTTCTTAATTATTTGTCGATTATATTTGAAAAAAAAACACATTTTATAATTTCTTAAATTTACAACAATACTTATAATTATATTTTTTAAAAAATTAAACGTACTCGTCTAATCTATCAAAAAAAAAAAAAAATCTTAAAAATGATAAGAAATAAAAAAGTATTATTTAAATATAATAAAGTACCAATTTTAAAATAGTAAACATATCGATCTTCCCTAAGAGCTCACATCGAAGGGGAAGGTTTGACACCTCGATGTTGGCTCTTCGCCACTTGGGGCTATAGCATGTTCAAAGGGTTGGGTTGTTAGTCCAATAAAACAGTACGTGGTGTATGCAATTGAGGCATCCTAACTGATCAATAGACTCGAACCTTATTCCTAAATAATCCGATCAATTCGATCAGGCACCTGCAGTCAATTTTTATTGTTCAACTCTTCGACAACATGAAAAAATCAGAAGCTCTATCCTCCCTCTCTATCTATCAAGAAATGGAAGGACAAAGGCCTTTGATATCCCCCCCAATTAAGCATTGGAGCCCCACAATCACTAGCCAATGCAAAAACGCTAGTTAAAATTTTACTTTCATTTTTAAAGCTCGTTAACAATATTTTTGGACGAAAATCACGATCAAGGATAAATTTTTTGATCAAGGAAATGTTAAAATAAGGATCCGACGAAGAAAAAAGTTAAATATATAACTACGATGATGAACAAATGCTAATGGCCTTTAATTATAAAAAAAACTTGTGGTGTGAATATAATCATTCGTTTAGTTTTGCAATCTATTAAAGAGAAAGAGAGGTTGGTGATATTTTTGAAAATAGATTTAAGGTATATGTAATTGTCATGAACGACTTCAACATACTTGCATCAGCATCCTATATTTTCCTTTTGTTTTGTGAGGCCACAAATTCTGCGAAGTACATCTTGAAAAGGTCAAGCATGTCAACACCCACCCACCCACGCACCAACCTTTACGTCTTCTCCGTATATGGCGACATTTATGAATTTTTCCGTCAATTCCGACAAAAAAAAACAAAGGATTCATGTATCGAACTTCATATTTAATATATTGAAAATAAGTCTTATTCTGATTTTAATAAATTTTTATATAGGCATGATTTTTATTTTTTATTTATTTTATCAATTGGTTAATAATTTAAACTTCTATACAAAAGAAAATTGTTGGAAAATCAACATCCTTACATTAAAAAATAAAAATCTACTATTCTATAATGTATTTTACACTGAAAAAATGGGGTTCAAACGGGCCTATTTAAGATCGTCAAAGACGTGAACACGATAAATATGGTTACTCAAATCGTAACATAATAATATTTAATCACTAAGTTTTATAATGTTTATTATGTTATTTATTGAAATCGGTTGTGCAAGTTTAAATTAATGAAGAAGTTATGTAAAAAAATATTAATAAAAAGTCAATATTATTAATTATTATGACTTATTATGTCTAACGCAGTGTAGCAAGCACATTGAAATATTGATGCGACTGAAGGAAGGTTGCAGCGGCTTAATCCATTATTTAGTGCTTTGAATACGTGATCATGTCTTTCTATTAAGAGCTCGTTTGAAATAATATTTGAAAAGGCAAAACCTACTTACGAGATCAAAAAGTTGCTTTTGAATATGTTTGAATAATTTTTTGTTTAGTGTTTTATTTGATTAGAAGAATTTTTAGAATGAACCGACATATTTTCACAAGAAATGTAAGCAAAAAAAAAAAAAATTCAACCAAACGGCCCCTAAGTAGGGTCTTATATTTAATTTGCTTAATATTAATATTAATATTATTAATTGTTGACGTCGAAAAATGTATGGACAAACTTCAAGCCAACTTCATGGATGATTTGTAAGAGGTAAATTGTTGAAATAGTAGAAAAAGAGAGAAATATGTATCACAAAGAAAAGCTTGTAGAGTATATATTGTATGTCCTTCCCACCTCCCATTAGGGAACCATTTAGTCATGTTTATAGGTTCCCAAAACAGCCAATTGGCCTCTAGTTGCGTTTTTTCATATCGCAAATGTACGATATCGTAACAAGTAATATAATGGACATTTGAATCCGAATTATCATTCCCTTGAGGACTATATTTTAGATCTTAATTAGATTTTTCTAACTCTTATTTTACAAAAACAAGTAAATAATTATGATAATTTTGACTAACTACTTTTAACAAATTGAAAGTATAAAAAAATTGCAAACAATGGATAATTGGTGAGACAGATATGCGATGAATATTAGGGCATAACAATTTCATCTATTGATCACCTTTATTTTTAATTCAAGATTCACAACATAATGTAGTGTTCGATCGAATTCTTCTACTGTATTCAATTTACCACTCTCGAGTTCTCATTGAATTTATTTAACTAATTCAATTCTATATCTCTATGCGAATTAATTTTAGTTAAACGAAACATTAGATCTAATAATTCAAATTATGACCGTAAATAATTAATATAAGTATCTCTACACGTTATACTAATTTACCGAATTTTATTATATGGTCTAAATCTCAAACTCACATCTTGATTCGTAAGAGATTCACTTAATTATCATATTATTGATCATGTAATTTNGGACTATACATCATGTATTTTTCTATAATTAGAGTAAGTTGGATGAAAAGCAAATTGTTGATAAAACTCCAAAATGGCATTTTCTTTTGATCCAATTTTTCTTCTCTTATTGTCCTTTCATTAGAAGTCAAAAAACTGTTATAAAAAGGAAAATCCATGGACCAACCCCATCATCTCCACCCCCTTCATTTCGGAAGCTGTTTCTATTTCTACATCTTTTTTTTTTCTCTCTTTCCACCTTTTTTTTTTTTTTCCATTTTTCCATTTTTTTTTCTTTTTCTGGCTTTTCTCTGGTTTTTCCCTGCTTCAGTGCCCCCACTTTCTTTCTTCTGTACGTGTATATATATATAGGATCAATCCACTCGGCCACCAAAGAATTCAAGTTTCATTACAATTACAAGCTAATTGTGGTCATAATCCAATTGAAAGAGGCACATTACCACAATATAAATCTCAACCACCAATTTCTTTCTTCCTAGGAGTCCACGCGTTGTGGTCATAATCCAATTGAAAGAGGCACATTACCACAATATAAATCTCAACCACCTATTTCTTTCTTCCTAGGAGTCATCGCGTTTTTTTCCCTTTTTTTATTTCAATCCAA